TTCTGGTGTCATTATTAGTCGTAAAGGGATCTGCTTATGGCTTCAGTGCTCCAAAATCTCATTCTGTTAAAAAAACAGTCCTACTTTGTTAATTTGACCATTACTTTCAGTTATTCTACTTTTGTTTTCTTTGTTCTGTGTTGTGTTGATGTGATTTATTTACTGTGTCAGAACATCGGCTGTTATAGGTTTATGTAGTTTTTATGGGGGTTTTTTGCGTTTAGAGGACTGACTTTATCAAAATCACTACATACCAGCGTTTTCTATTTTCTAAAGAAGATAAAGTGAGGAACATGTCACACTTCCTGTTTTAGGATATGTGAAATGGATTGTGTACAACTATGTAACTGCACAGTTTTTGTACTAATCTACAGTGATATTATAATTTAAACAATGAGCAATAAAGGTTCTTTAAGAGTGCTTGTATTTATTCTAACTTTTTCAGTGGCTAATTACTGATGAATATATTTGACATTAATATCTAGCTGGTTGGCACTGTGGCTTTTGTACGTCCTGTTAACCCTTTCTTAAATGGATTGTTATTTAATTGCTTACAGCTAAACCCAGACAAAACAGAAACTTTGATTATTGCACCAGACAGTGCAATACCTGCTATTAAACAGCGACTGGGTGATTTAGGTTCCTCACAGAAGCATAAGCTTAGAAATCGAAGTCTTATTTTTGATTAAGCTTTTTCTTTGGAGGGACATTTAAATCCGATAGTAAGAACCTTACTATCTTGCTTTTTTCACTTGAGGAACATTTCAAAACTTAGGTCCATCGTGTCAACAAGTGAACTCGAGATGATAATCCGTGCTTTTGTCTCTGAAAGACTCGAATACTGTAACAGCCTGTTTACTTGTCTAAATAAGAAAGGGCTAGCTTGTCTACAGGTTGTTGCTATATTGCTGATTTGATTCGTACACATACCTCTTCTCGTAACCTGAGGTCATCAAATCAAAACCTTTTAGTGGTCCCACACTCGTTTTTAGAACTCGAGGGGACCAATCTTTCCAAGCTGTTGCACCCAAACAATGCACTTCCTCTCCTTCTACGGTGTTTGGACTCGGTGGAGACCTTCAAAAGCAGCTAAAGACATTTTTATTTCAAAAAGCTTTGAATTAGACCAGGATTTTTATGATGTATTTATAAATGTATTGTGTTTTCTTACCTTTCTTGAAAAGGACTTTGTGACATGTCTGTGAAAGGTGCTATATAAATAAACTTTACTTACTTGCTTAATTTTTTAGATGTTTTCTAACACCACATGGGCAAAACCAGACTGAAGCAATGAGCTAAAAAAACAATGTTAAGTTGGGAAGAATTGCAGGATCAAAATGTAGGTTTTCTCACATGAATACAATCCTCGACCCCCTTTGAGTATAAAAATATTTCTTTGAGTGGGGAGGGTGACGAAAATGAAATAGGACACCACATAGGAAAATGACTGCATTTATTACATTTGTGTTGAATGTTACATGATAATTGTCCTGAAGGATTTTTTTTAAGTAGAATAATTTCAATAACATAAACAGAGTTTTACAACATGTAATATAATACCTATATATATATTTTTTTTGTTATTTGTTTTGTTTTGACTCTCACTCCAGCGTTCCTTCAAAGGGATACAGACACCGAAGTATTAAAAACACTGAACGCAATATTCACTTTTAAATTGTAAGGCAAACAAAGAAAGTATAAATATGCTTCACATTCAGTAGAGCTCCCCGGTCTTTTTAAAAAAAACAACACAGGTTGGAAAAAAAATGTGAGCTAACACGAAGGCATTTCAGCAGTATTTAGTTTCAACACTTCTTTCTCCCAGAGATTAAAGAAAAGCAAATTTATCTTTACAATTTTCAGTCAGAAAGGTAGGTCATCTGACTGGCATGATTTGTGTAAACATTCTCGTTTTCAGTGGCGTGATTTTAAACACTGGAGGCCGTGGCCGGAGATGATTCTGAGAAAAGGTTGGTGTTAATGCAGCGAGGTCAGTAGTAGTGCACAATTGGTCTGTCAGACTTCACTGAATACATGCAAACAGTACCTGCAGAATCTGCATACAGCTCAAGACAGAAAGTGCACATTTTTCCTGAATACATAAAAAAAAATGCAGTGATTTCTGACAATGTTAAGAGTGAAGTGATATACATAAGGCAAAATATGCACATTAAGGAGGTATAGCATGATGGGGGTACGGGGGCACAGAAAGAAATATGAATTTAACTTATACTGCTTGGCAGTAATAAAGTACTATAAGCAGGTCACCTGACAACTACAATGATGTTACTTCACAGGTCACAAAGTAATTTGGTAAATATTTGTCTTTACAAAAAAAAAAAAAAAAAAAGGCTAAAAAAGTCATCTAAAAACACACTCAGACCTAAACTGAAGTATCACCTCAAAAGGCTAGTGTATGTGCAGTGCAGTAAATATACTTGATCAGGAGGAAAGTGCCCTGGGGGGAAAAAAAACCCTCTGACATGCTGTAAGAGTATAAAATATGAGCTTAAACATGGATTCTGGACTGCACTGAAGGGGCAGTGTAATATCTGAATGTTGTGTATACAAGCTTATCTGAGGTTATGCATTCATAACAGGAGACTATGATACTAACATACAACACATGGATCTGCATGCATCTTGTATTTTACGTGAGTGGTCTGAAGCTAATGAAGATCAAAGTCAGCAGTAGCTGCTGCCCTTCATCCTAGTGATGTTTAATAATTCCTAAATATGTACTTTTCTAAATGTGAACAGACTAAAATCAGGTGAATTATTTGTGCTAAAGGATTTCTAAGCAATGCAATATGTCAGGAATCAGGAAATGTAAATATTACTCACAGCTTATCTGTTCCTATTAGCAATCATTTCACTCTCATAACAAACTCACAAAGGAGTCCCCCACAGTCTTTTTTCTATTTGTTTCTGCACTGTGTTCAGACTCAGAGAGAATGAAACAGTAAAAACTGTGCAGGCCTCATTTCCCCTGGGTTGAAGGGTACCAGGAGTCCTGATCTCTATGACACTGGTATCAAAAAAATCTTCCTTTGAATGCTGCAGGTATGGCAGGAATGAACCTACACAGATAGCCCACAAGCTCCCGCACAGTGTTCAATTACTGATATAACAGAATCAGTATAAATGAGTTAATGCTCTTCTGCTAAGACAAAACAAGCAAATGCTGTTTACTAACTAATAATTACTGTCAACACACTTTGAAACAATAAAACACCAGCAGCTGATTTTTAAAATGTAACTTGGTTAAGTACATGTGCTGTTAATGACTGCATACACAAGAAATTCAGGAAACTGTTAGTGCAGCGTACAGGGTGAGGAAAGAGGGCGAGGTTTGGCAGCGGGAGCTAAGGATGAGACAGGGAAGGTGTTCCTGTATGTTTTGGCTGGGTAAAGCGAGGTAGGGTTTGTCAGAAATAAAGTGGTTTCAAACCTGACAGAAGTGTCTGTGCGGTAAAATTTTACAAAGTGCCACTCTTCATTGTGCCATCTCTTTAGAAGGCCCGACCCCTTCCTCTCAGTCTGGATGGAGGGGCCGGGTCCTCTTCAGTGCTCTGCTGTCTCACACATGCTCAGATTTTAATGTCCTCCTGAATGCTGAGCTGGGACAGCGTCTTTTTTATGCGCAAGGCCGTCAGGCGTGCAGCTCCGTTAGCATACCAACACTCCCTCATGATTTTACCCATGATCCGCAAGGCCTGATAAGCACAAGGAAAACACCAGTAAGGCTTAAGAGCTTGTATTGCAATATAAATAATGGTGGTGATGACACAAAGTAGTTCAGACACTCTATGAACAGCATTTGAGTGCTACTTTATACTGAAGAATACAAGTATCAGATTACCCTAATTCATTCACATAAAACACTAATAAGAATCAAAACAATGTAGAAAAGCAGTTTCAATAATAACCCGGTTTATTTCATTCTGGGTCTTATTTTTGTAGTTTGGGCTATCAGATTCAGCATGAATGCAGATCACCAATGATCTGTACACATTACGGAAAAGGCAACACGGAAATATATATAACAAACTGAAACAAAAACATAAGATCATTGTGAAAAATATCATTTAAACTTAAAAAGTTTTCATGATTGGCTTAAAAAAAAATCTCAACAAATGTGGATTTTTTGGGAACTGTGATCAAGATTTGCAATGTATGCAAACAAAAATACCAGAGTGCCTCCACACGTTCTGCTTAGCCATGCAAACACATGCCACGAAGCCCCTAATGCACAGTTTTTCTGCTGAAGAGCTCTTGGTGACCCTGCTCTGTAACTGTACATGGTCTGCCACTCTGCGGCTGAGCTGCTGTAGTTCCTAAATGCATCCACTTTGCTATGATACCACTTACAGCTGATTTCATGAATTGACTGTTAGCATCCTGTTACAGTACCACACTGGAATTTAGTGAGCTCTCTTTACCTCTTTCACAAATGTGTGTATTTAAAGATAAAGAGGTGTGGCCTCAGTCTAACAAACTAAAGTAATCATTGCTCTCTGATGGGGGAAACTATGCTTTATCACGCTACACATGGAGCTGCACAGAAATTACTAAAAGACTCACAAACTAGTGAATCTTGGAAATGAATGAACTCTATTATGTGTTGTCCTAGCTGTAACAAAGCCAACAGTGTAGTTCAGAAACACCACAAGCAAAGAACCTAAGTGGAGGTTACACTGTTAGTTTAAGATGATGAATGCAATGTTATAATTAGAAATATAAATAAAGGCCCAAACTGCAAAAGTAAGATCTTTCTGATGTAAGTGCAGATTTTAGTTCGATTTTAACTTAATTTTCATACCTCGTAATTCTGCCACCAATTTGGAATATTGGGTCGAAGCTTTTGGTCACACACCACTTTTCTCATCTCCTCTATGGACGGGTCAGACGGTACCAGATCATAGTAGGGCAGCTGGTATTCTTGATGGATACCTGATAACACAG